CAGCATTATGGGCTTTATTTGTTTGGTTTGTGATTTGATTATTTATGTTAATTTTACGTTAAGAGCGCCATACCTATAGCACGTGACCTTGCACGTGACTAATTGATATGCAGCTCCAACCACACCATCACACTCCCAGGCAAGAAAACCATGCGCCACTGTTTCTCTTTCTATCCCTAATGCCCACTTAGCACTTACTTTTGATTACCTTCGTTAGGCGGCGCCACCTCACAGTCGCTTGAAAGGAAAATTTCTTTTTTCCATTAAAAATAATAAAATACTGCCTTGAAGTTATTGTTTTATAGACTAAAATCTCTAAAATAAATTACTATAGAATGAAATGGTCAGATTAAACGCTTTCCATGATAGACTATGAATTAGAAATGACAGTAAAAAAATTTCAGATAATGATCCACCGTCAAAAAAACCTTACGGTTTGGATTCCAGTTTAAAGCTTTTAAATGAGTATTTGAAGTTGTTCTTAAGTTCTTTAATCAATTTCAATATCAATATCAAAAATCAAAACTTAACTTTTCCGCACGGTAGCATCTGTTGAGACCCAGCACTTTCTTTTCATTGGATTTACTTCTCATACATCGCTTCGCCTTTTATTGAGCGAAGTATGTAATCGATTTGGCAATTAACTACATGGATGTTCAATTTGATTTACCGTTAAAATTTCACAAAAATTGGTCAACAAATAAGAAATTTACTTTTGCACATGCGCGAAAGAAGCTTTTGATATGTTTGAAATAATCGATCGATTTGCCTTTTGTAAAGGATGCTAATGTTAAAATTTCAGTAAGATCGGTCCATAAGTAACAAAGTTACTTTTGCGCATGCGCAGAAGATTACGGCCTACCAGTTTGGAAATTAATGGGTGCCTTCTCCACGCGGCAAGGACTGAAAAAATGTACGCAATTTGTCCCATTCAATTTTGAGTTATCGTGCTAAAAACAACCCGGACAACGACAACGGACTTTTTTCTGTGATGAAAACAATACTTTACTTACCCATATATGGGTGCGGAAAAGTAATATCATAGATGATATGTGCGATTTATATACACTTTATATACTACTTTAAACCACAGTAGGCGATGTGAAACAAAAGCTGATCTAGAAACTAAACTGTGTTGACATTGTAACTGGAAACATTTTAACAGACAGAGTCTGGCATGGCATAAGAAAATAAATAAAAAATTATAGAAACTTGAGAACGAAATAAAAGATTATTTTTCATAGCCTACTGTGACTTAAAGTAATAAAGTTAAAAATCGCATAGAAAACCAGTATCATTCATGGTGTGTTATATTTTTATCAGGCCGTGTGGCGCAATGCAGTTTAGGCTGGAGTGCGGTACTATGGGTCCCTGGTTAGAATCGGCGTTCGGGCATAGATATTTGTAAATGTATAGTGGGTTGGGTTGGTAGAGCGACCTTGGATGAAACCCCGCCCACTCAAAAATAAAAGTAAAAATAAAATATTTAATATGCTACCTTTTTAGATTAAAATATACAAGATGTTCCACAAAACACACGAGATTAGGTCCGATATGATTTACCCGACTCCATACACTTATCTTGTATATACAGCGGCAGAACTTAGGGATTCTTATCTACCTATTTCATGTAGTGCAATCGGATTTAGCAGATTTGGACTTACATAACAGTTATCCCCTGAGTTCTTTGCCATTTGGAGACCCAATCTCACGAATGACTAAGTACACCACAGACAGATGCTAATTGTAACTTCAATTATTTTACATTTTTGGTACATCACGCCGCGAAAGGCTGTCATTGAAAAAACGAAGCTAACACACACGTTCTTCTCCAACACAAGGATGATCTTATATAAACAAACCATCTGCAAATGTATGGCATACAATTGTCAACAAATTAGACAATAAAGTGTCATCAAAAGCACACTATGCTTGTGTGAAAGCTATAATACTTATTAAAAACGTGCTGGGAGTTTTCACACATTCCCTTTTTTGGTCAAACTTTTTACTATACATTCCGGCTCCGGCACAAAGATAGCATTAACCCATGCGTGACATTAACATTATACTTAGTTTCAACAGTATAGCGACAAAAGTGTACAAGGTTTCCAGAACATCTAAAAATTGAGATAACCTTCAAAGGCAATGCTTTGCTGGCATACTTTTACCACACAAACCGGCGCAAACGTAGCACTAACCAATCCATCTAGTTTCGAAATGTGTGCCGACAAAAGTGTGCGAAGTTATAGCAAACATCTACAGACATCTAAAAATCGAAATAACTTCTTCCAGGAAAATATTTTCCTGGCGATACAGCACAAACCGGCACAAACGTAATTTGTGGAATATGTATCGATATTCCTTTATCGACTGAAGAAGGAGAATCCGACGAATTCAAAGAAGCCAACGTTGATCCCGAAATAGGGATAAACGTATTCGGCAATGAAAACAGTGACATTAACGAACCGCCAGGTCCGTCAGGCCTGCGTAAATAGAGAATCTAATGTTACTTAAAATTAATTGATCATAGACTAATGATTAATCAATTTGATTAATTAATTAAATGATTAATGAATTATTTTGATAAAATACACGCCATTGGTTATTAAAAATTTCTGCTTTTCTGCGCAAGGGCTAACTTTAGTGGAAATATGCTAACTACATTTTTTGTAGGAAATGTTCGTCTCTTTAATTTTGCTCACCACATATTTTCTCGTAAAATGTGCACTTTTGGAGATATCGGCGGAAAACCGCTTTTGACGGCCATCTTGGCAAGATGGCCGCCCCGGCGGCAAGTTTAGAATTGTGCATTTTATGAATTTTAGTTCTACGCATTCAAGCATACAAAATTTCTGTACTTCCTGAGTTATTTCCAGGTAAAAATCCTCTATGACTAGCCTATTAGCAGAACCTCTAAAAATCGAAATAATTTCCAAACCGTATGTTTTGCTGGCAAACTTTTTACGGCACAAACGAAGCACTAACCAATCCACCCAGTCCCGAGATTTGTACCGATAAAAGTGTGCGAAGTTAGCAGCACATCTAAAAATCGAAATAATTTCCAAACGGTATGTTTTACTGGCAAACTTTTTACGGCAGAAACCGGCACAAACGAAGCACTAACCAATCCACCCAGTCCCGAGATTTGTGCCGACAAAAGTGTGCGAAGTTAGCAGCACATCTAAAAATCGAAATAATTTCCAAACGGTGTGTTTTGCTGGCAAACTTTTTACGGCACAAACCGGCACAAACGAAGCACTAACCAATCCACCTAGTCTCGACATTTGTGCCTTCAATGTGTTGCTAACTTCACGGACCCCATGTCAAATTTTAATAAAACTTCCGAGTTCCAAATAATTCAAATATATTCAAGCTTTTACGTGAATCAACACGTTTATTAGAAATATTAGCCACAAAAAATAATCCTGAAGAACATGAAAGATGGGAACATAATGAAACCTCCTAATAACCTTCAAAAATTTAAATCCCTATTATGAGCAAATGATGAATTAATCTGATCGAGGCATACGACAAGTATCGTAGGCCTCGATATGATACGTCAAATGCCAAAGACGTACCTATGCTACATAGTTTATTGTAGTGTTCTAAACCCTACAACCAAGTGCATCTTCGACAAGAGTCGCTCGAAATTTAAAAATAAGCCATAGACGTGTAGAAAATTAAGAGCCCTTTCCAATGATGTCACTCGATCCAAAATTTAAAATTATCGAAGGGATGGCAACCCTGCTTAGGGGGTTGGCGCCAGGGTGTAGATTTTAATTAATGTAAAAGATGTCACCCTTCCAACTAAAATCGACCCGTTTTTGCGTTTTTTTCAAAAATTATTTCCTTACGAGTTATTCAGCCTATTTCGTCTGTATTCAATAAACTTCCGTAGACACGTTATGTAGGAATACATGCAATTTGAGCATAGGCGGTCACTTTCAGGTGTACGAGCGGAGACAAAACTATAGAAGAAACTCACATTTTGGGAGATCAATAAGAAACATTTTGGACAAAAAGTTAGTTATAGCCTGGGAGACTTTTGAGTAAAGCTATAAAATTTGGTACACATTCTGTTTAACCCTCTGCTAAATGCTAATGCTAATGACTGGACCACTTTTTCGACTTGACTGACCTCCATGGTTGTAAAAACAGGTTTAGAATATTTGCAATCTACCACTGGGGCACAGGTAAGCCCAGGTTGCATACCTATTCAGACGCTAACTAGCCGATTTCTATATTTGTTGGATTTTTTCTTTCAGTGTTTTGGCTCCAAACTTGCATAATTAGCTACAAAGCTAAGTAATTATGTCACATAAAGTTTTTATGACACTCGGGGGTGTATTCTGAGCCCTTTCAGTGTGGGTTGCCTAGTGCCTATCCCTTTGGGAAATTACTATAAAGAGCTTAACAAAGGGGTAGTACTGGTAATTGCATTTAGTAGAATGAAAATTTGTTATTATCGACTTAGTTGGAAGTATCCAAATACAGCGCAGGTAAACTTTAAGAAGCATTGATTGGAAGGAATGATCATTAATTTGTACTAGCTATAGGTGCCGCCATTCGTGTTAAATTCTGCTTATAGAAAGGAAATTTGTCAATAAATAAAAAGTAGTAGGTAGACATGTAAATACAAAACAATTGTACCTACGGGGGACGTTTTTTTCAGAAACCAGTAACACGCTTTTGTTTTATTCTGTAACTGTACATATTACAATTGCAATTGTAACCCGTCACTACAAAGGATTTAATTTAAGAATTAGTGAACCAGAAATTATTCCATTTAAGTTTTGTTATCTCTGTACCACCCACATGACGTCATAGTTTTAAACCAATTATCTTCTCAATACCTATAAGATCCCCAAAAATTCATTTTTCCATCTAACACGCTCATTCATTTAAAAATAACGACCTCATAGAGGTAGGTACACAAAAACTCAGAAATTTGGTTACTCACATTACGTCAATTACCTAAATTGATTCTCCTTCTCACTCACCTATTCCCGGTAATTATAACACCAGCTATCACTTTGTAAACCACATTCGCGTACGCTACTCAGAAAGTTAGGGAGGTGATAAGAATACTTTGAAAAGATAAACTTTTTTAACCACGTCCACGACGCCGATGAGTACGATTCACGATGTGATCTATCCTACATTTAAGTTCATTGGCGACGACTACGCCCAGATTAATAATGCGAAATTTAAACGATCTTAATTCGTTGAATTATTTCATTATTTAATGCCTTTTAAGCATCTTCATTAGTCTCTAAAGTTATGTGTATCGCAGTGAGACGGTTAATTTTATCAATGAAGGGGCAGGGGTAGGTAGTGCCAGTTCAAATTGTATTTTCGAACACGGAAATAATTATGGCTTAATTTGAAACCTATAAATTTACTATAGCCGTTTTAATTTTTTAATAAGTTAAGGTTCAACGTCCTGTAGTTCAATAAACCATTCAAATTCAATTTCAATTCAAATAATTTTTTGTTTCTCGTACTAGCCCGTGCAAAAATAGGAAGCCAAATTCCAATTATCAAAGGAAGGTTCTCAGTGTATATCACATGATGTGCATTATCAAATGCCTCAGAATATGCATGTGATTCCTGCTTCCAATAACTTTTACCTATGCTTTTACTTTCTCCCAAATTATGTGGAATTTGTTCTAAAACGGAAAATTATAATTAACAATTAATGCAATATATTTCCCACTATTATAGGAGTGAAGCAGTCGTACCTAGTATTGAAGGGCAATTTTATGCGAAATAGTAAGATATTGGTGTGTAAAATGTCTTCACAACGGAAGGAATAAAGTGATGTCTTTTTATATTCTGGAAAAATCCCTGAACACGTCGTGTTTTTTTTCATTATACAAATTTTACACATAGGATGTCTTTAGTAGGAGGTATGACGTCGGCATTAATTTTTCCAATGGAATACTTGCTTTTGTTGATTTCTCCCGGTATACGATAGTCGTCGATACCATGTGGAATGGAAGACTATTGCTTAATATTTTAACATGTGAAAAGACTGTAATAGTTATTTACATAAAAGTCCGGAAAATGACATATTACTGGCGAGGAAATATTGAAGTGCGAGGCCCCTTTGGGGCCGAGTACTTTAGTTTCCGAGTCAAGTAATGTCATTTTATTGACGAGTTTTGTATTAAATTTTACCCGAAGTCGTATTTTATTGTAAAATTTCAATTTTTGTATAAAACTTTTGATTATTAACAATCTGTCAGTGATGACATGAGTCATTATAGACGTCTAGCAATGTCACAGATGCAGCCGGTAAAGTGGCAAGCGGCAGGAAACGTAGTCTGCTCTGCCTCTGTCATGGGAACTAAAATTTCCTGACAGGCATGAAAGTGAAGGTTTCAGGACGATTTTGGGTAAAAGTAATTGATTCAATGCTATGAAATTGTAAATGGAGGATATCTATTTGAAAAGCGCAGTACTTATATTTAAAGTATTTATACCCAGATTACCTCGAGGATCACCATTATTTTTTAGCGCAATTTTTAAGAATTAAAAAAATATGCTATTGTTTGCGTTTTGTCCGTCCGTCCGGACCCACTTCTACCGTTTTCTATACTGCATTCATTATAAGAAGGTAGTAGATGGCGCTGCGTTTAAAGATAGACACATACGGGATAAATATAAAATGGCACCAAATTTGAAACATATGAAAATAAATCAACATATTTCACGTTTGGATCATTGAAATTGACATCTAAAGTTAGTTTGACAGTTTAGTTCGTAATCGAAACTACTAATATAACAAAATTGGTCACACATTTTATTTGTCGGCGTAATCTAGACTCGTGGTTTAACCAATCACAGTGAAGGTCAAAGCTTCCCTATGCTTTCTACCGCTACCTTCTTAAAATGAATAGAGTATAGGGGAATGGTCCTAGAGTCCTGGAATTTTTTGCAGTAGGTAGCCTATACTCTGAAGGTGTGCTAGATGGCCATCAAATTTCGCTGTCTAAAAGGGCCCTCCGCCCACGAATTATTTCCTAAGATGCTGTTTTTGAAAGTAAATCGTGCATAGCTTTTACGTACGACAACCAATTGCTCTCAGATTTTGCACACGTATGCCTTTATTGGTGCTAAGTTAAGCTTTAGGAAATTGGGAAGGGGGGGGGGGGTAAACACATGTTCTACCTTTCATGGTATTCTAATGAAACGTCTCATCGAAATAAATTGGTTTGTACTATAACCTTCTCGTGCGACGCTTTTTCGAAATCAGTGAGCGGCGGGGTTTGTGGGGGGGAGGGGGAGGAAAATTTATTTTATCTCTTTGTATTCTAATTAAAGGTCTCAACGAAAGGAACCGTTTTCTACCAACTGCTGCCCTTCTTTCTGCCTTCTTATCAAAGTACGGGGTGGGAGGGCCTAATTTTATCCTTCATGAAAGGTCTCAATGAAAGGAATTAATTTCTACCAACCGTAGCCCTCCTCCTCGACCTCTTATCGTGATCGGGTATATTCCCTTATACCTCCAGAACGGATTGTCGGAAGAGGGTACTCACAAAGAGCGATTGAGACGTCTGCAAGAAATGTATCCATTGGTAAAAACCAAAAAAATGCGCTTTATCTGCACAAGAGTTGTGCACAATTGATACTTGTTTAAAAATCGGTGCTGTTAAACAAATTATACCGGAAAACCATTCATTGAACTAAAATTGAAGCACGTGAAAGGCAAGTTTTCTAAATCCATTCATAACTGCAGTCCATATAAAATTATTAAACTATCCTCTATATAGAAAATTAATTAGCATAATATAGATGAATAGAAAAAGTGTACTGTATTCTGAATTGTACAATGTACTCGTCATTAGTAATTAGTGCACTTACCTAACCCACGCGTTATTTCACAATGTTACATAGGACCTTCAAAAGGTTTCATTGACTTATCAAGAAGTTGTTAAACGTGAGAACATTTAGAATTTATTTAAATTAGCAGGACATGAATCAGGCCCAACATTTGACTAATATTTCGAAGATTTGCATAATAACAAGTGATGCAATTGTTAGTTGGAGACATTACTAGAATTCGCTTTACCAAATAGCAATTTGCCTAATTTAGGTCAATTTAAATGAATGTAGCTAATAAAGAAGGTGGTTGCGTTCCGCACATGATCGTTAGTCAAACGTTTATGATAATTAACGGATAGTTCTTTTTCTTTAGGACCAGTTTTTTTCGCTTTCTATTGTGCGAGATTATTTGCAAATTATTGAATACGTAAGTCTGCAAGTCGTTGCACCCGAACGACCCGACAAATGAACGTCGTGGTAGAATACCAATTTTTAATATGAGCAATAACTTTTACCTAAAATGTGTAATCAATTATTACTCAAGTTGGTGCTTGGCATGCGTATATCCAATGTTTAGTTTTTATTAGAAGATTTAGTTTTGTTATGCCCGTAGTGTGGCTGGTAGTAAGGCAACGAATTAAATAAAATAAACTCACTACCGATTTACAGTAATTAAATAACATTTATTTAACATGGTAAAAACAATGTTACATTTTAGGATGTCGTTTCAAGTCTCCCTTCTTTTCTGATGGTTATTCCTTTTATTACCTACCTATTGGTGATTTACAAAGATTAGTCGTCAGGTCTTGGTTTCACAGAAAAGGGATGAGTTGTCCTTAAAGAGTAGTTGACAGATTCTTAGGAAAGCTTAATCTATTGTACATTATGTGTGAGTAATACTCGAGGATGCAAGGATACAACAGTTTTATTAATAGTAACTTCAATTAAAATTTATCTAAAATTTGTGAACAAATTGCAGACTTTTTCACCAACTTTCGTTGTAATAACGGTCGTTCTTTCTCCTGCAGATGAAATTCACGACGATATTTGTTTGTACCTCTCAAGTCTCATGCTAAGCATGAACAAACTCCAAGCATTTTAATATCGTCGTAACATAACAGGTGTTTAGGTTAAACCATTGTCATACGGTGTACGGTACAATGATATAACTTGTTGAAAAATGTTTCTAGAATGCCTCAAAAGTGCAATATGTTGCACGGATAGATTAAACGAAACAAAGAGAATTGTAAAGGTTGTCGCACACTTGTCCGTTCCGTTACTTCATAAATTGATTAAAAAAATGTTTATTCAATGATGTTACGGACCATTACAAAATGTTCAAGTTCAACATAATATTTACATAAAAGCCAGAAAACCGACACATTACTGGCGAGGAAATATTGAAGAACGAGATCCCTTCGGAGAAAAGTTTTAATTTTCAAGTCAAGTAATGTCATTTTACTGACGAGTTTTGTGTTAAATTTTATCCGAAATCGTATTTTAATATAAAATTTCGTTTATATAGGACTTTTGATTAATGCCAATCTGTCAGCGATGACAGGAGTCATTATAGACATTTAGCACTGTCTCAGGTGCGACCGGTGAGGTGACGGTGCTGCCGGTAAAGTGACAGGTGCGGCCAGTTTTTATTACCAATAGAATGATGTACGGCAAAAAACAAAAGTTGAAAACTGTTGGTTTCAGCGGGATGGTGCACCCGCGCACGACGCCGGCGCCCTAATCGTGCGAGAATACGTATCGGATAAATTTTCCACTTACCAGGAAATGTGTCCAATAGGTATTCTCAAACCATCAGGATGTTGTGCGCCGGTACACCATCCTGTTGAAACCAACAGTTGTCGACTTGTTTTGTTGTGCCGTAAATCGTGGTATTCGTAATAAAAAATGCTACTCAATACAGTATGTACTTTTTACGGGCCATATAATAATAATAATAATAATAATAATAATACGCTTTTATTCCCCTTAAGTTTGTATAAATAACAATAGAAATATGTATTTAAAAAAACTAACCTCGGGGAAAGGGACTGCATTCAGCGCACAAAACACTGTTAATTGTGTAAATGTTTATGAAACAATAAAGTTCATGATGATTTCTCCGAAATAAAAAGTTATCTTGTAGAGCTCAAAAAGCGGCAATGAGAGTATTTTTTATGTTTTTGTATTTGTTCAAATATCACCAGTTTTTTTTTGGAATATCTTCGGAAGTAATCCGAGTGTTCTGGTTTTCTTTGAAGAATGATAATAGCTGTTTAATTATCGTATATTTCCTCTAGTTTGACCATCGTCGTATCTTTTATGGTT